TCCTGGGGCGCTGGGGGCAACTGGGAGGGGGCTGTGGGATGCTGAAAGGGACGGGAGGGGCTTTGGTGGCTCCTGGCGAGGACAAAAATGGATCGGAGGGAGGTTTCAGGGGCCCCTGGCTGGGCTGGGGGCCACAGGGAGGGCGCTGGGAGGGGCTCGGGGTGTCGGTGAGAGGTTTTGGGGGTGCTGAGCCCTGCGGATCCCCCAGAGATGCCGCCGGACGCCGCCCGCAGCAAGATGCTGACGGGCATCGGGGGCTTCGTCTTGGGCTTGGTCTTCCTGGCGCTGGGGCTCGGCTTCTCCCTGCGCAAGAAGGTCAGGGCGGGTGCCGGGGGTGGCGTCCCCGCCGTGGCGGAGCGTGTGCGCTCCCGCCGGGGCCCCCAGCCCGGTGTCACCCCCTTTTCTCTGCCCACAGAGCTCCTGAGCCGGCGGCGGCCGCAGCCCCTCCCCGTGGGCTCGGGCCCGGCCGGGACCCCCCGCTCCGTCCCCGCTCCGCTGATTTTGGGGGGTCCCGTGTCCCCCCCAGCCCCGCTGGCGCTCTGCCCCCGCCCAGTGCCTGCTCCCAGTGCTCCTAGTAAAGCTTCCCAGTTGGGCCCGGGGCCGTTTATTGGGGGGCGATGGGGAGGGGTTTGGGGGGGGGGCGATGGGGAGGGATCTGGAAAGAGGGAGAGGGACAAAGGGTGGGGGCTGGGCCCGGGGGGAGCGGGAAGAGGAGGTGGAGGAGGAGGAGGAGGAAGAGGAAGAGGAAGAGGAAGAGGAAGAGGAAGAGGAAGAGGAAGAGGAAGGATCAGGAGAAAGGCCGGAGAGAGGAGGAGAAAAGGGCAGGATAAGAAATGAGGAGGAGGTGAGGGAAGGAGGAACTGGAAAGAAGAAGAAGAGGAGGAAGAAGAGCAGCAGCACCAGAACCTCGCCGTTTTTCCACGCCCCCAGAGCTGCAGCCCCCCCGGCCCCGTCAGCATCGCCCCCTCCCCACATCCTGCACTGAGCAGGGAGGGAGAGCTCAACCCTTGTTAAGAATATCTAATTAATTTAAAATAACTAATACTTTTTAATTTCAATAAAATGTTATTTTAATTTATGAAAACACCATACCACTTAAATTTATATGATTTAAAAAATGATTTTATATTGGTGTAAGAGTTGGTCCTGAATTTTCCCTCGTCTGCCTCAGGATCGTCATTTGGGGACCACTAAGAAAAGACCGCCCCTGTCTTAAATCTCTGGCTCCAAAGGAGAAAGTCACATGCCAACAACGCCCTAGATCTGAGAGCGGTGCTAAGCCATTGTTCTCACAGGTGTTGTTTGCTGTATGCTACACTGAGCCCAAGGAGAAGAAGAAGGGGCACCGTGCCCTTTGTGCAACAACAGCCTTGGAAGCTGTCCCACCTCTTGGCCTGGCTGGACTTCTCCTGAGTTTCAGGTGGTCTCCCACAGAAGACCCTCACCTGTTTTACAACCACCGTGACAGACAGACTGAGATGTAAGGAGCCTCTCCATCAAGGACTGAGACATGGAACCCCCATGTGAAAAGGCCCCTCTGCTCCTTCCAAGGACTGGGACTGAAACCCCCAGCCCGGGGCAGGTGTGTGGGGGAGGCAAGCTGACCAAAGCGAGATGTTTGCCTGCAGGTTGTGACCGCTGGACCAAGAAGACAATGGCTCTCGTTTACTGCTGAGAGCATGGACTACCTGTTACTTCTATTCCTTATTGTATCTGTTTCCCCTCCCTCACAATTTCCAATAGAGTTATCATAATAAAAACCTCTGAGTTAGCGAGAGACTTTGAGATCTCCCCGACGTAACAGGCAGATCCTTGACTGGACTGGACCAAAGGACTTTGTCTCTACGTTTGGCAGCCCTATTCCCTCTCTCTTCCTTTATCTTTTCTCTCCCTTAATCCCTCTATCGCATTTTGCTGTGGTCATTCAATAAAGGTGCATTTGTTTCCATTATCATTGCAAAACCCCACTGTACCGTGTCGGTTCTTTTTGCACCCTGAGATCAAATCCATGAACCATCACGAAACCCGTCCGTGAGGACGGATCGTGACACCCCCCGAGGACCCCTCCCCAAATCCCCCCCCCAGCACCCCCAGACCCTGCTAAAACCCCCTTAAGTTCCCCCCAGACCCTCCCCAAATCCCCCCCCCAAACATCCTCAAGACCCCTCCCCAAATTCCCCTCACGACCCCTCCAGGACCCCTCACCTGTCCCTGCGCCTCCTCAGCAGCTCCCAGAGCCCCCCGTCCTCTCCCAGCGCCTCCCCCGCTCTCTCTAGCGCCTCCCGCAGGACCCGCCCGAGCCCGGGGCGGCTCCCGGGGGTCCTTAAGGGGGTCCCGGGGTGGGGGGGAATAGGGGGCGCCCGCTCCATGCCCGGCCCGTGGTCAGGGGGCGCTGCTTTGGGCTCGGCACCGATTGGTTGAGGAGGCGCGGGGAGGGCGGGAGTTGCTGAGGGGAGACGTCCGGTGAGTGGTTGGTTTGATAGAAAACGCGGTGATTGACAGGAGAGGGGCGAGGGAAGCGGGCTTTGCCGAGAGGAGGCGCGCGGTGATTGGTTGGTTCAGCTCGAGAGAGGCGGGAGTAGCTTAGGGGAGACCTGCGGTGATTGGTTGATTCGGCGCGCGAGAGGCGGGCGGTGGGGAGGCATTGGTCGGATCCGCGCACGGTAAGACCGGTGTTCCTGAGGGAATACCCGCGGTGATTGGTTGGTTTGGGGTGGGGTGCGCTGCTATTGGCTGGGAAAAGTCTGGGATTTTTTTAAAGGACTTTCCCGGGTTTTTGGGGAAAAACTCTCAGATTTTTCACGAAAAATTCCCATTTTTTTACAGGAGAAACATTCCCGGGTTTTTTGACCCCATATGACCCCAAATAACCTAAATAACCCCAAAACACTCGAAATAAACCCCAAAGAACACCCAAAAAACCCCAAATACCTGAAACTGCCCCAAATAACCCCAAAAAATTCCAAATAACCCCCCAAAAAACCAAAAAAAAAAAAACAAATTAAACTCAAAGACCCCCAAATGATTTCCAGTACACCTAAAAAAACCCCATGTACACCAACATAACTTCCAAGAACCCCAAATAATTCCAAATAAGCCCAAATAAACCCAAACAAACCAAAATACTTCCGAATAAACTCAAATGATTCCAAATAACATCAAATAAACAGAAATAAATCAAGTAAAACCCAAGAGAAACCCCAATTTGTCCATAAATAGCCCCAAATAAACCCCAAACAAACCCTAAATTAACCCAAAGAAACCCCAAGAAACCCCAGTTCGCCCGGTCCCCACCCATAAACAGATCCGGAACAATCAGAACGCGCGACACTGATGACGTTCCACTTGCTGGGCACAAACTCAGAGCACTGGCCCCGCTCAGCGATTTTCAGCCAATCAGCGCCCGGCCCGGCTCTGACTCATCACTTGCCCGGCACAGACCAAGGCCTCTCACTGCGGTAAATACTCAGAAATCGCGGGGGGGGGGGGGGGGGGGGGAAGGGGAAGGGTGTAATTTCCAGCCAATCAGAGCGTGTCTCGCTGATGACTCATCAGTTGCCAGGAGCGGAATTTAGTGGCGGGGGAAGGTGATCCTGGGGATGGGCTGGGGACCCCAAATTAATCCAAAATGGGGTCGGGACCCTAAAACGGAGCATGAAGGGCCTGGAGCCCCCAAAATCAAACACGGGGGAGGGGATTGCGGGAACGATCGGAAAGGGGAGGGAGAGCAGGGAAAAGAGGGGGGTGGGACCCCAAAATTGAGCTGGGAGGGGGATGGGTCCCCCAAACAGGATGAAGCCAATTTTGTTCCTGGAATATGTAAAGTAGTTCATGGATACGCGAAAAGCCTATTAATATGTAACAGGCTGATGTAACGGGAGAAAAGGACCATAAAGCAAAGGTTGTTATGGCCACCAAGACCCCCCAGTTATTTTCAGGGACACCCCTTAATTAATCTGGTTTAACTACATCAGCCTGTTGCATATTCATAGACCCTCATGCATATCCATAAACTAATCTACATATTTCAGGAACTATTTTACATGGCCCAGCCTTGGGGGTGTCTCCCTATTTCAGGAGTCTCCACTGAAATACAAAATGTAAACCCCCTCCCTTTGATGATAATGATGATAATGATTACATTAATTATTTTGAAATTAAGGGGTTCTCAGGCAAAGATATGGGAGTAGAAATAACAGTTCTTTATTAGGAAAAATTAAAAATACAAATGCAGTAGTACAAACAAAAAAAGTGACAGAGTCAGAATCCTCTGGGAATCCAGTGAAAAAGGCTGATCCTCCGGGAATCCAGTGGGCAAATATTTATCCTCAGAGAATCCAGAGGGAAAAGCTGAAATTTTTGGAATCTGGTCAGAAAAAGGCTAATCCTCTAAGAATCCAGTGGGGAAAGGGCTGATCCTCTGGGAATCCACTGGGAAAAGCTTTGTCCTCTAGGAATCCAGTGGAGAATGAGGCTGATCCTTTGGAATCCAGTAGGAATAGGGCTGATTCTTTGGGAATCCATTTCTTAACCCCCAAAGACAGGGCACAGGAAGGGCCATGGAGTTTTTATAGGGTATCCCAAGGGTGGAGTTGGGGTTGGGGTCAGGGGAGGAGTTCTTAGCAACACAAGAAGGGTGAGATCAAATTCCTGCCTCTTAGCAACAGCAGCACTCCACACAAAACGTGTCCCCAAATCCTAAATTCCCTCTAAAACAACTGAGAAATTATGCAACATCAGATACATTCAATGAATTTCCTTCATTTAACCCAGTTTTCGGTGTTCTTAAAGGATGAAGGTGAAGCAGAGGCCAAACCAAAAGGCGAAGCAGCCAGGTGTGTTCCCAACACGGATCACAGGGAATGTGGTTCACCTGGGCTGTGCCCAAAGTGCCTCCTCCAGTGGGGGATGGAGTTGGAGCAGTGCACGAAGCTCTGCCCGCACTCGGGGCACTCACAGGGCTTCCCTTAGTGGTGCCTCCGTTGGTGTTGGGTCAAGTTAGAGCTCTGTGAGAAGCTCTTCCCACACTGGGGACACTCGTAGGGCCTCTCCCCTGTGTGGATGCGCCGGTGGGTGACGAGGGTGGAGTTGCGCTTGAATCCCTTCCCACAGTCGGGGCATTGGAAGGGCCTCTCCTCCCTGTGACTCAGATAGTGCCGGAGGAGATCAGAGCTGGTCAGAAACCCCTTCCCACACTTGGAACACTCATGGGGCCTCTCCCCAGTGTGGGTCCTGTGGTGTGTGATCAGGCTGGAGCTCTCTCTGAAGCACATCCCACACTCGGAACACTTGTACGGCCTTTCTCCAGTGTGGATCCTCTGGTGGCTGGTAAGGTGGGAGCTCAGGTTGAAGCTCTTCCCACACTCCCCACACTCGTAGGGCTTCTCCCCAGTGTGGATCCTCTGGTGCACAATCAGGTCGCAGTTCCACCTGAAGCTCTTCCCACACTCCACGCATGTGTGCGGCTTCTCCCCATCATGGAGCTGCTCATGGAGCACCAGCTCTGACCTCTGGCTCCGTCTCCGGCCGCCTTCCCAGCCCAGGCTGGCTCTTTCCCCCTCAGATCCCCGCCAGCTGTGTTTGCAGCCCCTCCTCGTGTGGCATCTCCGGGGCTTTTCCTCCCCGTTGGCTTCCTGCGCCGTGGAGCCGCTCAAAACGGCCTCTGCCACCAGGTTCTGCCACGGGCATTTGTCCTCCCTGCTCTCCATGCTCAGCTCCTGCTCTGGGGAAGGAAGGACAAGGACAGGATGGGATTTGCCTCCGTGCCATAGGCAAGGGCAAGGAGATCCCCCCAGGGCTGAGCTGCAGCCGGGGCCGTGCTGGGCTGGGAGATGGAGCAGCACAGAGGGGAAAGGGGCACTCATCGTCAGTTTGGGGCTGTGCACAAATCACAAACAGGACTGGACTGCTGGGAATGCATCCCGAGCTGTGTGATTTTCCAACCATCTGTCTCATTACTTGGTTATGACAATGGGAAGATGCCAGTAGCTCACTTTATAGGTAGCAGACAAAGGAGTTCATGTTAAAACTTACTTTAAAAGGTTTTTGGCCAATCACGCAAAGCAAAAGCATATTGACTGTAGTTCCATCCAAGCACTATAAGCACATTGATGGTTAAAACAACGCTTGCTTATTTCAAGTACAATACCTGCTTGTAAGCCTTAAAAAACAATGCACAGAGCTCCAGTATTAAGCTTGAAACTTCTAATATCTTGCTAGATACACTTTTCCGCAGCTTAGGGAGTTATTCTAGATAAGTGTTAATGCACAGACCATTGTTCTATTTCTCCTTACTTTCTACTTCTTATACAATTTTTCTGCTGATCAATCTATTGGCTGCTGCCAAGCCCAAATCAGTTCTAATGTCTCTGAGGCTTGTCTTTTGCAGCTTTCCCAAAACCATCTGATTTTAAGCATTCCAGAGACACTGACTTCCTCCTCACCTGCCTCATTGTCCTGGGGCATGTCCTACTTCCTCGCAGCCTCCCAGGAGCTGGCAATGGGAAATCCTGGTTTGGGGAAAACAAGGGATGAGCACGGTGAGTTTGAAGGTCCCTCTGCCCAAGTCCATCTCTACAAGTCACTGGCACTCTGGGCTCCAGAAAAACGTCCCAAACACCCAGATTCAGCCCTGAAAAAGCCTCCCAGGGGTTCCCCATCCCTGGTCCCTCCCCTCTGGTGTTCGGGGGTTCCCCCTGTCCCAGCTGCGGGGGTCACGCTTGGATTGGGGGTCCCCCTTCTCCTCGGTGCCCGCCCTGCCCAGGCAGCTGGCAGTCCCAGCAATTCCAAAAGCTCCCCTCGCTTCGCTCTCCCCATTTCGGGATGCCGGGGCTTTTTGGGCTCCCGGGCTCCCTTCTCCCCTCATTCTCTGCTCTGGGCTCCAGCGGCTCCAAGGAGTCCCCCCTGCCCCTCTCCAGGCTCTTGAGGCTCCCGCAATGGCGCCGCTCCCCCCTCTCTGGGCTCCCCACTTTGGGCTCCTGGGGGACACCGGGCTCTGCTCCTCCAGGCTGCCTCTGCCAGCAGCCACCACCACCACCCCCCGATGTCCCACCAAGGGGCCTTTTCCGCTCAGCCTTGGACTTCTTCATTCTCCAAACATCCCCCAAAAACCCCAACCCAGGGACCCCCCAGGATATCTGGGCCGAGCTCCCCCTCCCCGCTCATACATGTGATGGGGGGGCGATGATCCCACAGGTGGGGGCTGCGAATTCAGGCAGGGATCGACTGCATGGTTCCCTACCTCGGCTCAGCCTCGATCTGCCTTTGTCCCTCCTCTTCCTCTTCCTCCCACTCCTCCCCTTCCATCCCCGGCACTCCTCCTTCCCCTCTGCCTTATTCCCACCTCCTTTGCCTCTTTCATCACTGCTCTCTCTCCGCCTTCATCCCTTCTCTTCCATCCCTCCCCCTGCTCCTCCTCCCAAACCCCACCTCCTCCTCCCCCTCCATCCCGGCCCTTCCCTCCCTTCTCCTCCTCCCCCAGCAGCAGCCACACCCTCGCTGCCCCATTCCCGCAGCCCTCGCAGCCGCGGCAGGAGCGGGGATGGAGCCGGGACATGTCGGGATGGGCAGCGCGGGGCTCTCGGCTGCTCCAGCCGCTGCGGGCGGGGGGAACCCGGCCTGGGCCAAAGGAGACACAAACTGGGCAAACTGGGGGCTGCACATCCAAACTGGGCCTTGCTGGGGACCCTGCCTGGGCACTGCCAGCCCTTGGGGCTCGTCTCGGCACATCCGCCAGGGGGGAACGCACACAGGGCTGGGGGATCCCAGCAGTGGCAGCACTGCCAGGAACTGGGCTGGACTGGGATCCTACTGGGAGTGACTGGGAAGGTACTGGGCTTGTACAGATATCATACTGGGATTGTACTGGGAGTGACTGGGACTGTACTGGGTTGATACTGACATCATACTGGGATTGTACTGGGATCATGTTGGGACTGTACTGGGTTTGTACTGACATTATTCCGGGATCATATTGCCATGCCAGGGCAGACTGTGATCGCACTGATGGACAGTGGGATCATTCTGGGATCATACTGGGAGTGACTGGGACTGGCTTTCTATTGACATCCTATTGGCATCATACTGGGATTGTACTGAGTTTGTACTGACTCCATGCTGCCATCATACTGGGATCATGCTGAGATCAAACTGGGAGTGAGTAGGAGCCTGGAGGGGGCAATTGAGACCATGTTAGGGGTAAATGGGACATACTGGGATGAACTGGGATGGTGCTGAGGATGGCTAGGATCATACTGGCAGTGAGTGCCACTACTCTGAGGCTGACTGGGAGTGCTTGGGAGCAAATGGGATCATACTGGAAGGAACGGGAAAGATGGTGGAGGGAACTGGGGTACCCTGGGATATACTGGGAGTGACTGGAAGGAAAGTGAGGGTGAAAGAGAGGAACTGGAACCATGTGGAGCAAAACTGGTTTATTCTGGCAGAGACTGGGAGCACACTGGGGCCAAATCTGAGACTGGGATCATACTGGGACAGACTGGAATAATACTGGGAGGAACTGAGTGTCACAGTGAGCACACCCTGCACATCATCCCCCATACTGGGCCTGACTGGGAGCAACTGGGAGCAAATGGCATCATACTGGGACTCACTGAAGTGATTGAGGAAGCAACTGGAACCATGCTGGAGACAGCTGGGACCATACTGGGAGAGACTGGAAGTAAGTGGGAATATACTTTTGAAAAGTGCATATTTTGTGATTGGGTTTTCACAATTATTAATATGAATATTATATGTCTTGTGTTAGAAAGTAACGCTGTATTAATTCTCTTAAGTAGTGGGTTAAATATAGTTTTAGGTTATTAAAAAAATGTTAAAATAGAAACTATGCTTGGTATGAGACTTTTTTAAAGAAAGGACTTGCAGCGAGAGAGCAGCCACAGGACACCTAAATCTTTCAAGGAAAAAGAATTTATTGGTCTCTTGTCAGAAGAAATAACTTCTTCCTGCCTCGAAGCTGCTGTTAGGTTTCAGAGGAAGAAGTTGACAATGACCAGACAGAATCCTGTGTTTGAATGGAATTTATGCATCATGTATGAAGTGTATGAATATGCAACAGGCTATTGTTTTAAATGGTTAATCCTGTGTTAACCGGTGTCCTTTCTCAGGCTTGTGCTGCCCAGAAAAAGGTACCCAGACATGCGTAACTTTGTAATTGTTGTCTCATATTGTCCTAATTCGATTTGTCGCAATTGTTATTACTCTAATATTATTACTATTTTTTATAACCATTTTATTACCATTAAACTTTGCAAATTTTAAAAGCAAGTGATTGGCATTTTTCACGATTTGGTAGCAGAGGATGGTTACTAACACCTCGCTGCCGGTGCTTTAGGAGAGTCAGAGTGGGGAAGGCGCACCCTGCCCCGTTGGCAGCCTCGCTCTGTCTCCCCTGGGGTGACCGACAGACGCAGGTTATGGTGGACAAAAGGAGACAATAAAACAAAGAGAAGGGAAAAAGGCTCCCTACAACCGTGGTAACTCGTCCCCTAAGAGTAGTAATGTGCACGAAGAACCCGGGAAGGAAAAGGGATTGGTAAGTATTTCTCAGGGGGGCAGGTACAGGGGGATGAATGTGTGTGAATGAGAGGAGGGCTGGTTGTCCCAGACCTGCCAAGTGAGTGCTCGAGTCTCCCACGCTGCGTTTCGGACTTTCCGTGGTAAGTGGCCAGGAGAGAGACGAAGTGAATGTTAACAGGAGTGAGAGAATCCCCCGGGGTAACTGGGACTGGGTCCCAGAGAGGGGCTGGACCCCTCGGAGAAAGGGAGCAGAGGAGTTTCCGAACCCAATCCACTAGGAAACGGGACAAACGAGGCCCCTAAAAACCTGCTGGATTGAGGGATAAGAGTGCCCAAGAGCATCCAGAATTAAAACCTGCTGGGTTGAGGGACTAACATTCCAAGAGCATTCAGGGTTAAGCAAAATTCTGCCAGAGTGAAGATATCCTCAAGAGCATCTGGGATTGGAGCACACAGCTGGGCTGAGGGATAAAAAAATGCCAAAGTGTTGGGGAAGATGAAACAGGAAAGCCTTATAAATATGATTGTCTGGCAAAAGATTTTGACAATATAGAAACTATGAGCGAGATTGAAATGAAAGCAAGATTTGAGATATCTCAGTTTCTGAACAACTGGAAAACAATGGTATGGCTGACTGAAGGTAATCCCCTTTTGATGAAAAAATTCCCTCTGCTTACAGACAGGTCCAAGGGTCAGAGCAGACTCTACTAGCTCAGCAGAAGGGGTCCAAAAAGGAGTTTTAAGGGTTTAAAATGTAACACATATGGTAATGTAATGATTCTTATAGGCTGTATGTAAATGCTCTAGGATTTGTATCTTGTACTAGATTGGTTAGTGAGAAATAGAATATTCAACAGAGAAGAAAATTTATTGTATTGTAACGGGAACCTCGCTCTCTTACGCTTTTACTCTCTCACTCTCTCACCCTCTCTACCCCTCTCTTCTCTTGGGCCTGCTCCGA